ACAGTACACTTTGTAGCTTCACAGATATCCCCATGACTGGTCACAGTAGTGTGTAAACTCTCATATTGCTCCTTGTAGCTTCACATGATATCCCCGTGACTGGTCACAGTAGTGTGTAAACCCTCATATTGCTCCTTGTAGCTTCACAGATATCCTCGTGACTGGTCACAGCAGTGTGTTAACCCTCATATTGCTCCTTGTAGCTTCACAGATATCCCCGTGACTGGTCACAGCTGTGTGAGTTCATCTCGCCCTCACAGTTCACTTTGTAGCTTCACAGATATCCCCGTGACTGTTCACAGCAGTGTGAAAACCCTCATATTGCTCCTTGTAGCTTCACAGATATCCCCGTGACTGGTCACAGCAGTGTGTAAACCCTCATATTGCTCCTTGTAGCTCCACAGATATCCCCGTGACTGGTCACAGTAGTGTGTAAACCCTCATATTGCTCCTTGTAGCTTCACAGATATCCCCGTGACTGGTCACAGCAGTGTGTAAACCCTCATATTGCTCCTTGTAGCTTCACATGATATCCCCGTGACTGGTCACAGCTGTGTGAGTTCATCTCGCCCTCACAGTACACTTTGTAGCTTCACAGATATCCCCGTGACTGGTCACAGCTGTGTGAGTTCATCTCGCCCTCACAGTACACCTTGTAGCTTCACAGATATCCCCGTGACTGTTCACAGCAGTGTGAGTTCATCTCGCCCTCACAGTACACTTTGTAGCTTCACAGATATCCCCCTGACTGGTCACAGCAGTGTGTAAACCCTCATATTGCTCCTTGTAGCTTCACATGATATCCCCCTGACTGGTCACAGTAGTGTGTAAACTCTCATATTGCTCCTTGTAGCTTCACAGATATCCCCGTGACTGGTCACAGCAGTGTGTAAACCCTCATATTGCTCCTTGTAGCTTCACATGATATCCCCGTGACTGGTCACAGCAGTGTGAAAACCCTCATATTGCTCCTTGTAGCTTCACAGATATCCCCGTGACTGGTCACAGCAGTGTGTAAACCCTCATATTGCTCCTTGTAGCTTCACATGATATCCCGTGACTGGTCACAGCAGTGTGTAAACCCTCATATTGCTCCTTGTAGCTCCACAGATATCCCCGTGACTGGTCACAGTAGTGTGTAAACCCTCATATTGCTCCTTGTAGCTTCACAGATATCCCCGTGACTGGTCACAGCAGTGTGTAAACCCTCATATTGCTCCTTGTAGCTTCACATGATATCCCCGTGACTGGTCACAGCTGTGTGAGTTCATCTCGCCCTCACAGTACACTTTGTAGCTTCACAGATATCCCCGTGACTGGTCACAGCTGTGTGAGTTCATCTCGCCCTCACAGTACACCTTGTAGCTTCACAGATATCCCGTGACTGTTCACAGCAGTGTGAGTTCATCTCGCCCTCACAGTACACTTTGTAGCTTCACAGATATCCCCATGACTGGTCACAGTAGTGTGTAAACTCTCATATTGCTCCTTGTAGCTTCACATGATATCCCCGTGACTGGTCACAGTAGTGTGTAAACCCTCATATTGCTCCTTGTAGCTTCACAGATATCCCCGTGACTGGTCACAGCAGTGTGTTAACCCTCATATTGCTCCTTGTAGCTTCACAGATATCCCCGTGACTGGTCACAGCTGTGTGAGTTCATCTCGCCCTCACAGTTCACTTTGTAGCTTCACAGATATCCCCGTGACTGTTCACAGCAGTGTGAAAACCCTCATATTGCTCCTTGTAGCTTCACAGATATCCCCGTGACTGGTCACAGCAGTGTGTAAACCCTCATATTGCTCTTTGTAGCTTCACAGATATCCCCGTGACTGTTCACAGCAGTGTGAAAACCCTCATATTGCTCCTTGTAGCTTCACAGATATCCCCGTGACTGGTCACAGCAGTGTGTAAACCCTCATATTGCTCCTTGTAGCTTCACAGATATCCCCGTGACTGGTCACAGCAGTGTGTTAACCCTCATATTGCTCCTTGTGTAGCTTCACAGATATCCCCGTGACTGGTCACAGTAGTGTGTAAACCCTCATATTGCTCCTTGTAGCTTCACAGATATCCCCGTGACTGTTCACAGCAGTGTGTAAACCCTCATATTGCTCCTTGTAGCTTCACAGATATCCCCGTGACTGGTCACAGCAGTGTGTTAACCCTCATATTGCTCCTTGTAGCTTCACAGATATCCCCGTGACTGGTCACAGTAGTGTGTAAACCCTCATATTGCTCCTTGTAGCTTCACAGATATCCCCGTGACTGTTCACAGCAGTGTGAAAACCCTCATATTGCTCCTTGTAGCTTCACAGATATCCCCGTGACTGGTCACAGCAGTGTGTAAACCCTCATATTGCTCCTTGTAGCTTCACAGATATCCCCGTGACTGGTCACAGCAGTGTGTTAACCCTCATATTGCTCCTTGTAGCTTCACAGATATCCCCGTGACTGGTCACAGTAGTGTGTAAACCCTCATATTGCTCCTTGTAGCTTCACAGATATCCCCGTGACTGTTCACAGCAGTGTGTAAACCCTCATATTGCTCCTTGTAGCTCCACAGATATCCCCGTGACTGGTCACAGTAGTGTGTAAACCCTCATATTGCTCCTTGTAGCTTCACAGATATCCCCGTGACTGGTCACAGCAGTGTGTAAACCCTCATATTGCTCCTTGTAGCTTCACATGATATCCCCGTGACTGGTCACAGCTGTGTGAGTTCATCTCGCCCTCACAGTACACTTTGTAGCTTCACAGATATCCCCGTGACTGGTCACAGCTGTGTGAGTTCATCTCGCCCTCACAGTACACCTTGTAGCTTCACATATATCCCCGTGACTGGTCACAGTAGTGTGTAAACTCTCATATTGCTCCTTGTAGCTTCACATGATATCCCCGTGACTGGTCACAGTAGTGTGTAAACCCTCATATTGCTCCTTGTAGCTTCACAGATATCCCCGTGACTGGTCACAGCAGTGTGTTAACCCTCATATTGCTCCTTGTAGCTTCACATGATATCCCCGTGACTGGTCACAGCAGTGTGTAAACCCTCATATTGCTCCTTGTAGCTCCACAGATATCCCCGTGACTGGTCACAGTAGTGTGTAAACCCTCATATTGCTCCTTGTAGCTTCACAGATATCCCCGTGACTGGTCACAGCAGTGTGTAAACCCTCATATTGCTCCTTGTAGCTTCACATGATATCCCCGTGACTGGTCACAGCTGTGTGAGTTCATCTCGCCCTCACAGTACACCTTGTAGCTTCACAGATATCCCCGTGACTGGTCACAGCTGTGTGAGTTCATCTCGCCCTCACAGTACACCTTGTAGCTTCACAGATATCCCCGTGACTGTTCACAGCAGTGTGAGTTCATCTCGCCCTCACAGTACACTTTGTAGCTTCACAGATATCCCCATGACTGGTCACAGTAGTGTGTAAACTCTCATATTGCTCCTTGTAGCTTCACATGATATCCCCGTGACTGGTCACAGTAGTGTGTAAACCCTCATATTGCTCCTTGTAGCTTCACAGATATCCCCGTGACTGGTCACAGCAGTGTGTTAACCCTCATATTGCTCCCTTGTAGCTTCACAGATATCCCCGTGACTGGTCACAGCTGTGTGAGTTCATCTCGCCCTCACAGTTCACTTTGTAGCTTCACAGATATCCCCGTGACTGTTCACAGCAGTGTGAAAACCCTCATATTGCTCCTTGTAGCTTCACAGATATCCCCGTGACTGGTCACAGCAGTGTGTAAACCCTCATATTGCTCTTTGTAGCTTCACAGATATCCCCGTGACTGGTCACAGTAGTGTGTAAACCCTCATATTGCTCCTTGTAGCTTCACAGATATCCCCGTGACTGTTCACAGCAGTGTGTAAACCCTCATATTGCTCCTTGTAGCTTCACAGATATCCCCGTGACTGGTCACAGCAGTGTGTAAACCCTCATATTGCTCCTTGTAGCTCCACAGATATCCCCGTGACTGGTCACAGTAGTGTGTAAACTCTCATATTGCTCCTTGTAGCTTCACAGATATCCCCCTGACTGGTCACAGCAGTGTGTAAACCCTCATATTGCTCCTTGTAGCTTCACATGATATCCCCGTGACTGGTCACAGTAGTGTGTAAACCCTCATATTGCTCCTTGTAGCTTCACAGATATCCCCGTGACTGGTCACAGCTGTGTGAGTTCATCTCGCCCTCACAGTACACCTTGTAGCTTCACAGATATCCCCGTGACTGTTCACAGCAGTGTGAGTTCATCTCGCCCTCACAGTACACCTTGTAGCTTCACAGATATCCCCCTGACTGGTCACAGCAGTGTGTAAACCCTCATATTGCTCCTTGTAGCTTCACAGATATCCCCATGACTGGTCACAGTAGTGTGTAAACTCTCATATTGCTCCTTGTAGCTTCACAGATATCCCCCTGACTGGTCACAGCAGTGTGTAAACCCTCATATTGCTCCTTGTAGCTTCACAGATATCCCCGTGACTGGTCACAGTAGTGTGTAAACCCTCATATTGCTCCTTGTAGCTTCACAGATATCCCCGTGACTGGTCACAGCAGTGTGTTAACCCTCATATTGCTCCTTGTAGCTTCACAGATATCCCCGTGACTGGTAACAGCTGTGTGAGTTCATCTCGCCCTCACAGTACACCTTGTAGCTTCACAGATATCCCCGTGACTGTTCACAGCAGTGTGAGTTTATCTCCCTCACAGTACACATTGTAGCTTCACAGATATCCCCATGACTGGTCACAGCAGTGTGTAAACCCTCATATTGCTCCTTGTAGCTTCACAGATATCCCCGTGACTGGTCACAGCTGTGTGAGTTCATCTCGCCCTCACAGTACACCTTGTATCTTCACAAGTGTTAATGTATGCTATTTTATGCAACTCTGCCACCCAACTACTGTTGACTGTACCCATCCAACCATTAAGGACGGAACAAACTGAAATAGCTGTGGACGTGCAAACTTCTTTTTGTAGAACTACGTGTACTGGGCGGACCTGAGGCGCGAGGAAGTCATGAGGATGTACAAACAATCAGGAGGAGACAAGCTTATGGCTCTCGGCAGCGCTGTTGATCCACATAGTGTGAAGCCGTTCCATCCTGATATGCAACCAGAAGGTATGAGTGTATATGAATCTTGCTACACTTCCCGTCTATATTTTATTGAAATTATATCCAAGGTGAAAGACAAGAGCATGCAATCATAGATTTCAGATTTAATACCATGGAACATAACCGTGAACACGCATGGCTGTAGTGGCGATGGCAGTGAAGGTGAAGTTGGCAGTGAAGGTGAAGTTCGAGGTAAAGGTGAAGTTGGCAGTGAAGGTGAAGTTACCGGTAAAGGTGAAGTTGACAGTGAAAGTGCAGTTCGCGGTAAAGATGAAGTTAGCAGTGAAGGTGAAGTTCACGGTAAAGGTGAAGTTGGCAGTGAAGGTGAAGTTACCGGTAAAGGTGAAGTTGGCAGTGAAGGTGCAGTTCGCGGTAAAGATGAAGTTAGCAGTGAAGGTGAGGTTACCGGTAAAGGTGAAGTTAGCAGTGAAGGTGAGGTTACCGGTAAAGGTGAAGTTGGCAGTGAAGGTGCAGTTCGCGGTAAAGATGAAGTTAGCAGTGAAGGTGAAGTTACCGGTAAAGGTGAAGTTGGCAGTGAAGGTGAAGTTACCAGTAAAGGTGAAGTTGGCAGTGAAGGCGAAGTTCATGGTAAATGTGAAGCTGGCAGTGAAGGTGAAGTTACCGGTAAAGGTGAAGTTAGCAGTGAAGGTGAGGTTACCGGTAAAGGTGAAGTTGGCAGTGAAGGTGCAGTTCAGCGGTAAAGGTGAAGTTGGCAGTGAAGGAAGTTCATGGTAAATGTGAAGCCGGCAGTGAAGGTGAAGTTACCGGTAAAGGTGAAGTTAGCAGTGAAGGTGAGGTTACCGGTAAAGGTGAAGTTGGCAGTGAAGGTGCAGTTTGCGGTAAAGATGAAGTTAGCAGTGAAGGTGAAGTTACGGTAAAGGTGAAGTTGGCAGTGAAGGTGAAGTTACCAGTAAAGGTGAAGTTGGTAGTGAAGGTGAATTTCATGGTAAAGGTGAAGTCGGCAGTGAAGGTGAAGTTACCGGTAAAGGTGAAGTTAGCAGTGAAGGTGCAGTTCGCGGTAAAGATGAAGTTAGCAGTGAAGGTGAAGTTACCGGTAAAGGTGAAGTTGGCAGTGAAGGTGAAGTTACCGGTAAAGGTGAAGTTGGCAGTGAAGGTAGAGTTACCGGTAAAGGTGAAGTTAGCAGTGAAGGTGAGGTTACCGGTAAAGGTGAAGTTGGCAGTGAAGGTGCAGTTCGCGGTAAAGATGAAGTTAGCAGTGAAGGTGAAGTTACCGGCAAAGGTGAAGTTGGCAGTGAAGGTGAAGTTACCGGTAAAAGGTGAAGTTGGCAGTGAAGGTGAAGTTACCGGTAAAAAGGTGTTGTCGGCAGTGAAGGTGAAGTTCACTGTAAAGGTGAAGTTGGCAGTGAAGGTGAAGTTCGCGGTAAAGGTGAAGTTGGCAGTGAATGTTCAGTTTGCGGTCAAGGTGAAGTTGGTGGTGAAGGTGAAGTTCACGGTAAAGGTGAAGTCGGCAGTGAAGGTGAAGTTGGTGGTGAAGGTGAAGTTCGCGGTAAAGGTGAAGTTGGCAGTGAAGGTGAAGTTCGCGGTAAAGGTGAAGTTGGCAGTGACGGTGAAGTTGGTAGTGAAGGTGCTGTTGGCATTTAAGGTGGAATGTGGTCAGCAAATAGAAGAATGAATATTTTAAAGAATGCCAAAGTTACACCATGTTGTCCCTCATAAGACATATGCTCGACAAGATCATTAATGAAAAGAGAAAACAACTTCGGGGACATCTGACAGCCCCGTACTGCACTGGATAAAGGTGGAGTAACCACCAGGAAGAGATATACATGATTGGACACTTTGATAAATATTTCTAATAATTATAAATATCTTTCCTTTAAACACCACCATTCGAGAGCTTAAATAATAAACCTTTACGATAGACTCAAAGGCAGCTTTTAAATCAATAAAGGCACAATAAAATCTACCACGCTTCTCCGACAAGTATTTCTGAATGAGAGTATCAATAATGAATGTATTATCAGTTGTTTGAAAGCCTTTACGGAAACCTGCCTGTTCTTTGACAATAACATTCTCCTCCGTAGACCACAATAAGAGCCTATTGCATATTATTTTAACAAAACATTTACCCGCCACATCAAGAAGAGTAATAGGCCTATAGTTACTAGCTTCATTTACACTGCCCTTCTTGTAAACAGGAAGATTAACCCCAGAAGTCCATTGTTCAGGGTAAATACCGGTGGATAATATTACATTATATAACTTTAGTAACATGTCAGTACATTCTAATGGAGCATGTTTAAAAAATTCTATGGGAATACCATTAAATCCTGGAGCTTTACCAGATTTCATTGAGTCAATGGCAGACAACACTTCATTTAAAGTGATAGTCCTATCAAGTTCATCATCGCCATCAGCTGTCATGTTGATAAAATCCTCGTCAATTGAATCAACAAAGAAGCCATCGATAAATTTATAGAATTCAATCAAATTTACACAGTTTTGCTTTCCTGAAGCAAACATTTAAAGTGATTAATCCAGTCATTTATGTTTGTATTTTTGGAAAGTTTTGGAAAGTATGAAAGTGTTTGGAAAGCTTGGGCTTTCCGTTTACATAACAGTTTATGGTGTTTCAGGCTGCCATGTACGTCTGTCTTGTCAGCACTACTTTTCGAGGCGTAGAACACGCGCAACCGCCAAGCGCTGTTGCACGTGCGCTCTCACATTCAGCTTCGTATCAGTTACCTCCCTTCTTATCCAGAGCCAGTAGGAGACTTTCCACAGCCAAGCGCACATGTTTTCATGATGTATGTAAACACAGAGACAGCAGTGTCTACCTTAGTTCATTATAACAATGTTGTGTTGCCGTCTGTCTACCCCCTCTAATGAAATATATTTGAACAGTGTCGTGTTTCCCGTCGCCCCTAGTTTTAGTTTTACTATCACAATTGAATCAACTCTGTAACCATCATTAACTTCTTTTTTCATAAACCACCTGAAATCTCGATCTCTTTACATCAGGGAAACCCGCGTGTGGGCCGGATAACGGAGGCTGTCTAATCTGTCTCCCAACTGTCAGGAATGGCTCGAGACACAGCTTCCGGTGCGCATGTCCAGATGGACTGTCCCTTGGTGACGATAAAGAAGACCTGTCGTACGCCAAGTACGTTCAACATTCTAAAATGCATCATATTTGATTCATTTAGTGATTGTTTTAGGTATTTCAAATCTTTTGTGGCATCCACGGAAATGCTGAATTATTGTGCTTAAACGTTTAGCGCAGACTCGACCTTTAAACCAAACAGTAATTGGTTGTGGAGTATTGTCATTAGCACTTTAAGATATGGAAACGTATCAACATGTGCATTTCTCCTATTTGTTTTAGAGTTATGATTCTTTAGTGACATAATCTACAGATTCTGCCAAGCGAAACAGCCTGCCATACCCTTCCTTCAGTCATCGTGTCAGTTGTGATATTATAGACAACAGAAATATGTCCATGTTTGATATGACTAAATTACAAGGGCAGAATGCAGCTATTCCTGCATCAACATGTGAGAAACAACTTTGATTACTTAAAAAAGTAAACGCATGTTATCGGGCTTTAAAGCCTTTTGTGTGTATTTGATAATTGTGCATCCTAGAGGCATGTAAAGCCGGATACGAAGCCGTGGAGGGTGGCTGTAAGGATGTGGACGAGTGCAGCCAGCCGGGTTCCTGCTCCCACACCTGCCACAACACACCGGGAAGCTTTACTTGCACCTGTCGCCATGGATTCATCCTCGTCAACGGAACTCGGTGTCGACATGAAGGTAGCGCTATATACAGCCCCAACAGGACAGGGCATTTCGGATAACTGTAGAGGACTTGTCGTAGTTGGGACGTAGTTAAGCCATTCTATTGTTAAAATGCAGTGTAGAATCAGGACATACGTGTTCATTACTCTGTGCTGATCACACTCAGGTACAGTCAGGACATAAGTGTTCATTACTCTGTGCTGATCACACTCAGGTGCAGTCAGGACATAAGTGTACATTACTCTGTGCTGATCACACTCAGGTACAGTCAGGAAATAAGTGTTCATTACTCTGTGCTGATCACACTCAGGAACAGTCAGGACATAAGTGTTCATTACTCTGTGCTGATCACACTCAGGTACAGTCAGGACATAAGTGTTCATTACTCTGTGCTGATCACACTCAGGTACAGTCAGGACATAAGTGTTCATTACTCTGTGCTGATCACACTCAGGTACAGTCAGGACATAAGTGTTCATTACTCTATGTTGATCACACTCAGGTTGCAGTCGGGACATAAGTGTACATTACTCTGTGCTGATCACACTCAGGTAGAGTCAGGACATAAGTGTTCATTATTCTGTGCTGATCACACTCAGGTGCAGTCAGGACATAAGTGTACATTACTCTGTGCGGATCACACTCAAGTAGAGTCAGGACATAAGTGTACATTATTCTGTGCTGATCACGCTCAGGTACAGTCAGGACATAGAGTGTTCATTACTCTGTGCTGATCACACTCAGGTGCAGTCAGGACATAAGTGTTCATTACTCTGTGCTGATCACACTCAGGTTCAGTCAGGACATAAGTGTTCATTTCTGTGCTGATCACACTCAGGTAGAGTCAGGACATAAGTGTTCATTACTCTGTGCTGATCACACTCAGGTAGAGTCAGGACATAAGTGTTCATTACTCTGTGCTGATCACCTACTCAGGTACAGTCAGGACATAAGTGTTCATTACTCTGTGCTGATCACACTCCAGGCACAGTCAGGACATAAGTGTTCATTACTCTGTGCTGATCACACTCAGGTACAGTCAGGACATAAGTGTTCATTACTCTATGTTGATCACACTCAGGTGCAGTCAGGACATAAGTGTACATTACTCTGTGCTGATCACACTCAGGTAGAGTCAGGACATAAGTGTTCATTATTCTGTGCTGATCACACTCAGGTGCAGTCAGGACATAAGTGTTCATTACTCTGTGCTGATCACACTCAGGTACAGATCCAGGACATAAGTGTTCATTACTCTGTGCTGATCACACTCAGGTACAGTCAGGACATAAGTGTTCATTACTCTGTGGGGATCACACTCAGGTACAGTCAGGACATAAGTGTTAATTACTCTGTGCTGATCACACTCCAGGTTCAGTCAGGACATAAGTGTTCATTACTCTGTGCTGATCACACTCCAGGTACAGTCAGGACATAAGTGTTCATTACTCTGTGCTGATCACACTCCAGGTGCAGTCAGGACATAAGTGTACATTACTCTGTGCTGATCACACTCAGGTGAGAGTCAGGACATAAGTGTTCATTACTCTGTGCTGATCACACTCAGGTGCACCCAATCAGGACATAAGTGTACATTATTACTTTGTGCGGATCACACTCAGGTACAGTCAGGACATAAGTGTTCATTACTCTGTGCTGATCACACTCAGGTACAGAATCAGGACATAAGTGTTGATTACTCTGTGCTGATCACACTCAGGTTCAGTCAGGACATAAGTGTTCATTTCTGTGCTGATCACACTCAGGTAGAGTCAGGAAATAAGTGTTGATTACTCTGTGCTGATCACACTCAGGTACAGTCAGGACATAAGTGTTCATTACTCTGTGCTGATCACACTCCAGGTACAGTCAGGACATAAGTGTTCATTACTCTGTGCTGATCACACCTCAGGCACAGTCAGGACATAAGTGTTCATTACTCTGTGCTGATCACACTCCAGGTAGAGTCAGGACATAAGTGTTCATTACTCTGTGCTGATCACACTCCAGGTGCAGATCAGGACATAAGTGTTCATTACTCTGTGCTGATCACACTCAGGTACAGTCAGGACATAAGTGTTAGGTACACTGGTGCTGATCACACTCAGGTAGAAACATGTTTACTGCATTGTCACAGCGCAAGGTCCTGCTCCCGCCTTACTTGTCGTGGACTGGCGAGGAGCTCCCGTATGATAGACCAACTAGACTCCCCACCCCACGGGTGGTCAGCATTCATCGCCATGCGGCCATGAAGCGAGCTGTCGCAGTAGATGTGGACCAGGAAATCGGGCGTATCTTCTGGGCAGATCTCATAATCACATTCCATTAACATGTGAGGTTGGGAGGGCCGCAGCGCAATGTACGTATCATACGCCTTTGTTCAGAATCGGTCATTTTTACAAATATCAGCCAATTGTCTCTATTGTCTACCCTGCCATGCAGTATATAGGCATTTTGAAGACTGTCTTATAACTTTGTTTTACAATCACAGTTACATCAGATTTGAAATTTCTTTCAGGGTGTGTTATTCTCAGTCAATGTGTAAACTTGTGAGATGATGAATTTTCTTACCTGCTTATTAAGGGGCCACTCTGAATGGAAGCTTGCTCTGCTATCACCAACTGTACTGGTTACCTCCCGGGATAAGATTCCCCGAGAGCGTGGCGTATGACTGGCTACACAAGGCTCTGTACTGGGTGGACGCAGAGGATGGTGCCATCAGGGTGATCACTCGGAGACCAGCCTCACCAGGACAGTGCATAGACATCTGGATAGACCACGAGCCCCTAGCGCTTGATCCAAATGAAGGGTACCATCCATTCAAGCATAACCATCCACTGTGGTTACGTTGTTCATCAGAGATCCTATTCTCGAAACGTTCGTGGACCTAAGAATTCTTAACTTTGATCGTAGCCAATGTGTTAAGAATGGACATAAGAAGTTCGTAGGGCTACGAACGTTTCGAAAAATAACTAGCCAGGTGTCTATGGGGACTATTCCTGTGATGGATAGAACTACTCATAGAGTACCAGGTGCACGGGTGGTCCTAGTTGTCTTAGGCTCCATAACACCATGTACACAGTTGCGTCCCTTAGTTTAACTCCAATAACTGTATGTTCGAATCCCATATTCGCCTTAATTGTAAGTTTTGTAAGACTAGCATTAGGCACATTTTTGGGGCCCAGGTTTTATTCACAGAGACGACTTTATGAAGGGTTAACAAAACAGTTGTATGACGGCAACCTAAAGACTGAAACCTATGATTATGGTATATCATGGTAAACTTGTTACTGTTCTTTTCCGGAAATAGAACTCAACTTCAATAATTATATTTTCCATCTTGTCTCCCCAAAAACTGAGAAACCTATGGACCAGAGCACTTCTAAATACCTAAAATGACACCACTTAGGTCAAATGTCGCTTTAAATTAACTGCTCTTTACAGGCCACGTGACATTTGTTGTATTATTACCTGACTACGTTGTTCAACTCACAACTCACAGAGCCATGGGCTATACATACAACATTGGCTTACACGGACAATACACATTCTCTTCATCAATCGACCCCTGAGCCTTATGTGTGAAATTCCAAGGCAAACCTTGATTGGTCTTCTGATTTGGCAGACGCTTGTACTTGAGTACTTGCCCAGGGGAAGACACCGAGTATAGAGAGACAGGCAGGATGGACGGGTCGGGGGAGGACGCTATCATCACAACCGACATCGAATGGCCAAATGGTTTGACTATAGGTCAGTTGTCAGAATATACATGCTAATGAAACAAAGACAATGTCTTAAAAACATGACCATAATACCCGTTTCACACTTGAGGCGGAATGCTTTTAGAATGAAAATTCCTGGAAATTCCAAATGCATTCTAAAACTTCTTACTCCATTCGAATGCATTCCAACTATTCGTGTCAATTCTTGTAACATGTTCAAAACTTTCGAGGTACATTCGAAGTGGAAAAATATCGAACAGCATTTGAAGTGCATTCTAAGTATTCTTACTGCATTCAAGCTGCATTTTAAGTATTCTGAACGTATTCGAGGGAGAATCGAGAAAGGGCAAGCCACTTCAAAACATGCGAGAATGTCCCAGCGCTACTTGAATGTGCTTCGATTGCTGCTGGAATTTAGTTGGAATATTCTTCAAACGTATATTTCGATTGCATTTGGAATACAACTCGAATGTACATCGAATACACCTCGAATACAGTCAGAACGCCCCGAATGCTCTTCAAATTAGCCTGACGTCACCTCCGAATCGCATGAAAACGTAGCGGTGAAATATTGATATCATTGTTTTTAATTAAAACAAAAAACAAAACAAAAAAACCACCCGAAGGACAGTCATTCAAGCAAAACTGAGTGTAAAATTGGAAGTACATTTAATTGAACGTAGAGGACACAAATTGACTTAGTAATATCATAACACATTAATATGTTGGTGTCGTATTTCCTCATAAGAAATTTTATCAATGATGAAAAGTCAACCAAATCGAATGTCGATATGTCACTTCATACATCAATCATCCTGTTCTGCCAGGGCACGGCTCCAGCTGGGTTGTTAGAGTAATGCTCTGAAATCTCCACTTTGGTCTTCCAGCCTGGGTGTGTCTCTGTTTCCTCCTGCAACATGCTGCACATCTTCAAGCTGCGCAAGTTGTCTCCAGCCCTCCTGGCACCACGTTGTGTGTCTCATCACCTCATCCACCATACCATTGTGGAGGTGGGATAACGAATCCTCCATCAAGTTGTGCAGGCAGACACAACATTCCAATGATGCCCTTTACAGCGGAAGGCAGCATGGTGGTGAGAGAGTTGCCATCTCTGGGCCAGAATTCCAAATGCATTTTTCACTGCCGTCGGCCCTGCTGATCCTGTAGTTGTAGATTCTCTCGTCTCTCTGGAGAGTCATGACCATACGGTTTCATCCAAAGAGGTCCTTATTCCAAGGCATGTCTCCCAGAATAAAGCATGGCATACGCTCGTCATCTTGGGGTGGGGACGAATCAGAATCCTATGCCCCCGTACCAAGACAAATCCTTAGGCTCGCACTCGTTAAAGATCTGAGCATTAGAACACTTTCGTAGCACCAACGTCCACCCACAGGAACCTGTAATTTCTTTCCACAAGGGCCATGAGGGACCACAGAAAGAAGCCCTTGTAGTTGTGGTATAATGAGCCGCTCTTGGCAGGTTTCCTAATGGCCACATGTTTGTCATCTAAATCTCCTACGACATGGGGAATATTCCACTGTTTCTGAATACCTCTTGGTGATTGTTCTTCTGGTGGTGGGGCAGATGATAACCTCATCCTTGTATTCCTCCACAATGGCCTTACATACTTCTGGGATGATCAGGCTGACTGTGTTCCTTGCCACGCCAGGCTGTACGCGTCTTGGGTACCTCACCTGAAGCCAGGAACCTAAATGTGATGGCTGAATCTTCCGCGCCTGGAGGTGTAGCGCCTTTCTCTGCTATGTATCCAGCTGCTTCTGGGTGTTCTTGGTCCCACTCTCTGCAATCACCCTCAACTCATCAAACATGGCAGGCTCCATCCTGGGGTAGTTGAAGAAAGACTGCGTGTCCTCCAGCTCTGAGCTCCTCCATTAGTCTTGTGTAATGTCCATACAGCCTTCTCATTTCCTCTGTCACCCCATGGTCTGGTCTGGAATCTCCTGGGTCTTCCCTGTTTCTTCTCTGGTCTCTTCCCACATCTCTTTCAATCAGGTCTTGCTGAGGACAGCAATCTGGAGCAACACAACATGGTCCAGTGGGTCCATACTGTATAGGAGTTAGGCAGAGACTGATGAATTAAGACCCCATCGTTACTGCGGCATTCCGGCAGCATTCTTGATGTATTTCGGACATTCGTGTTACATTCTAAGTGCATTTGAAGGATGTTTGAAATATTCGAGCTGCATACTGTTTTAGTTCTTTAACATTCGATCCATATTCGGGGGTCATTCCAAGAGGGTTTTGAATGCATTCTATGTGAATTGTAAAAGCATTCGAGGTACTTTCCCAACTGAAATTCGAGTGCCATTCATACAGCAGTCGAACCTGACTCGTACGGCAGTCGAAACTCATTTTAAGTCTTCTTAGTGTATTCTGACGGCATTCTAATTATTCCTACTGTATTCCGATTCACTCGAGCTTACATTCGTGATCTAGTACATTTGGAATCAGCAAGAATCATTTGAGGGCAAGTTCGAGAGAAATACGTTCGAAGTATTCCCAACAACATTCTTACAAAGCTTAACTGAAAAATTTGCCGATTTTGACATTCCTCTCCCGAATGCGGGTTCGAATTTTGAAAATATTTTTATTCTGGCTGATTCTTCTTGATTCCTGCCAATTCGAAATAAGTGTGATGGACGCTCAAAGTGAATTATATGGTTATAAATAATGTTGATTTGATGTGCGCATGATTAAAAGTAATATCTCCTTTAAACATGTCCGGGTTTTTATCAAGACACATTGCGAGAAATGCAATATTTACATGCGAGGCAGCATGTCCTTTCATTAACATTTTACTTTTCCGCATCTCAAAATCTTTCCCAGACTATGGTGAACGGCGTTTAATGTGGACTGACGGGAGCATAGGTGTTGTCTATAGCTCCATTACATGGACGGCAGTAATCGAAGAGTACTACCTTTTTCAGCCATAGTGAACAACATCAACACCATATTTCTGTGACGCTGTTATAGAGGTACGGTGCTTTACTTACAGGCATTGGGTATATCCCATATAAATGAAATTGTTTCCAGATGTGTGTTTTACCTGAAGAAAAGCGACTGTATGGCCCTAGACCCGCTTTTAATGGGTCATTTAATTTTAATTTAAGGGCAAAAAAGACAAAAGGTGTTATGTGTGCGCACCACATACGCACTCACGCATACACAGCGCACACACCCGGATCCCGCCTATGAGTACACAAGTTCCTGTGTTCCGATCCATATATGGTCAGGATTGCATCTTTGTACAGGATTACGTCTACTGTGGACAGACTGGAATTACGACGGACACTCTCCAGAGTCCTCGGAGACTAATTGGTGGCATGAGGACACTATACCACAGTGGCGTTCAGAAGACCAGTAGATGTCAAGATCATACATCACGTTACACAACCCAAAGGTACACATAGGAAACACGTTCTTTATTTGCATCTCCACGGGA